TAGAGTGATTACGAGTGGGTCAAGGTGAGGGATGTCCAGCCCGCTCGCATCCTTATCCGTAAAGGAGATGGTAGGGATCCCTTTATGGATATACGGGTAGCGTTGTGCCGCGACGGCCTTTCGTTCGTATTCCTTGATCGCCGATATGGAATCGTCGTTATCCAGGAAGCCTCCCATGATCATGCTGACTTGTCGCTTCGGTGGTGGAGGTAGGTCGTCGTGGTCATCACGATTCCTTTTCCCAAGCGGCTTCCGCCTTTTCTGCATCCTTCCTCGGACGGGGTTGTCGTCCGCGCTTCTCCTGCTGCCCAGATTTTGGTGGTTTCGGCGGGAAGCTTTTTCCTTGGGACCTATCACCGTCCATTGGCGGGATTTCTCCTCGATGGTACATGCGCATGAGGTTGCTCATTAGGTGTTTGCAGTTTTCAGTGGCGTGGCCAGTTCCTCCCGTGGAACTTGCAGAAAGCTTTGGTATCGTTGTCATCTCCGAGCGAGTTGATGTCTTGTGGCATCGAAACGGCCGCTGCGTGTTCTTGCTCGAACTCGTCGTCGGCTGCTGCGAACGCTGTGAGGAGAGACCTCTTCGGATCGTGTCTTCTTCGCGCCTCCATGGGTTCCTCTCTGGGTTTCGTCGAGGTTGCCCTCCTATCTCCATGTTTCTCGGCGTAGAAGCGCTGGTCTTCCTCGAGGAAGATGTAGTTCCGAGAGCGGTGGAACGCGTCCTCCAGAGTCGCAGGGGGTTTTAGTGACAAATCCTCCTTGAACTTGGAGTCGTACCAGAGGCCGTTGCGGAGTGCTTCTAGCGGGACGCTATCGGCATGTCGCCAGTGTCGCGAGCTGCTTGTTTGAACCTTTCCATAAAGCTGCGCAATGGTTCGCCTTGGGTTTGCGTTGTGGTGAACATGTTCCGAGTGATTCGGGTCATGTGCATGGAGTAATGCTTCAGAAAAGCATTGGTTAGGTCGTCGAAGTTATCGATCGACTCGGCGGGGAGGTTAGAGAACCAGGTCAAGGCATCTTTCGCCATGTGCTCGACGAATACTTGACAGTAGTTGGCCTCCCTTTCATCGTAAGATTTGTATTTCTCCCTCCTCATGGCGAGGTTGAACGCGGTTAGCCACTTCTTGGGGTCTTCTTCGCCGGTGTAAGAGTCGATTTTGAGTCGAACTCTTTCGTGTAGCTCAATCTGGCGGAGCCTGCGGGTGAGCGGGCTTCTTCGGGTGTCGGCGAGTGCTTTCGTCAATTCCGGAGCTGAGCTGGTGGCGCGATGAACTTTCGAATCGACCTCGTCGAGGCGGCGATTCACCCGTTCAGCTCTTGGTGGTAAGTCGCCTGAAGTGCGCAGGACGGGGGGTTGTTCCGTCAGGTGGGACTTGACGGATCTTCATCGTCTTCTCGTGCTAGGGCTTCCACCTGTTCCTGAGTCTTTTTCTGCTGTGCTCGCATTGACTCGAAACCGTCGGCGAGTGGCTTGACGAGATTCTCCATGAGTTTGAGGATCTTCTCGCTCGAGGAGGATTTCTTCGAGCTGCGGGGTTTGTCGCTCGAGGAAGATTTTCTCGAGCGGCGTGGTGCGGACGGAGGGGGCTCTCGTCCTTTCTTGGCGGAGGAGATCGTTGCGGCGAAGTCGATCTTCGCGGCGAGACGGATCTCTGTGGCGAGAAAGATGGGTTTCTTGTAGGGACAGGCTTGTCCCTACCTTCAGCGGGTAGCGACTTGTCTATCGTGCCTGGTAGACTGTCGCTTAAGTTTTCTTCTGAGGGAGACGGGCTCCCGGTGGGAGTGTTCTCTTTCGAGTTCGCCATCGTTGCTAGTTCGTGAAAATCTAGATATCTTCGAGATGAATAGCGAGAAGCGTTTCCAGCCCCACGGTGGGCGCCAATTGTTGAATCCGAGATAGCACTCGTCAAGACGGGCTATCTAGATGTGAGTTTAGGAAACTGGAACGCTTAATTCGACTCTTAGATTATCAAGAAGATTACAAGAGAGCAATCTCGCTAACAAGCCTAGCGAGATTATGATGATGAACAAGAGGATAGAGTAAAAGCTAATGTGAAAGCCTAGTGATTCTAGATGATTTCGGATCCCTCTCCCCAATGGGGGGTCTTCAATATATATGGTTGATAAGTCGGCCGAATGATGAATATTCTCCTTCAGGCGAGATGGAAAACTTCCTCTTTTGCGATATGGAAAATTCCCTCTTGTTTTTGGATCTTTCTCCATTCTTTAAGTCGGCATGAAGATTTATTTACATTTCTCCATGGATTGTGCCTTTCTCTTCAAGTCTTGCCTTTTTCTTGAAGATGTTAGGCCTAAAATCGGATTGGGCTTTGTGACTTTACTAATGATGACGGGCTCAGGGAAATGTGCTAATTTCTCCTCTAACACTATTCCCACGTTTTTCATGACTTTACTTGATGTTTCAAACATTTATGGTTTGATAGATTTATAATTGTTTCAATCACATAGACCGCATATCTTCACTATTTTATAAAATAACGAAACCATATTGTCTCACTAATCGAATCATAATTTATAATTGGTCCACCTTTATGATCTAGATTCTAAAGGTAACTAAAAACGTGGTTATTTTAATTGCAACTCTTTTATCTACGCCGACCAAAACTATAGAAAGTAGCTACGCGGATATATATGACTTAAATAATTAAGAACGATGACTTAAACGGAATCCCCACGAAACATCTAAAAAGATACACTTCAGAATATAATCTTATGCATAAAAAATAGGAAGTGTTTAACGTGAACGTTAGTTCTATTTAATCAAGTGGTAGCAGCCGGCAGCCAAAATAATCTTACCATGTGTTCTCTATAAAATCTTTATCAAAAATGTGTTGTATTCTCTATCTCATCTTCTGACTACGTCCTTGAAAAAAGTCTATGCTTAAGCTTATTGGGTAAGAAAACAACAGTTGATGTTTCGGCAGCCTTCACTTCACCCCCATTCATGACTTTTGATTCTCAATTTTATTACTTGTCAAGGACATAGCCATAAGTGTTTGAATCTTATCTGAAAACTCTATCTTTTTCTACGTTTGTTTCAATTATGTGTCCTTGACAAATTGTAATCAAATTGATAACTAAAAAAAAGTCATGATTAGGTCAAAAGTCGCACCAAATAGTTATCTATATATGTATTTAAAGTTTTAAACATTTTGTTTTTGATAAATATCTGCTCAAACAATTTCTAATGTTTTTTTTACCAGGGGGTGGTGATATGATCTTTACCACCCGTTTAATTCACATGTTGAATGTAACCGTGGAATAGCACTTTCACCGGGTTTTCTAATAGGTCTAAACTCTAAAGCAAGGCACTATTTCAACTGCCAAATGTAATAATTAGATAACTATATGCTTAAAGGAAATGATTCTCTTAGACCAACATGATAATTCCTTGGTTAATTCTTAGTGTTCATCGTACAATTTAAGAATCAATGTTCTAGTTCTTCCACTACAATTTAATTTATACTTAACTAGTATAGATAATTTAAATTATAAAAATACTCGACGGTCCACAAAGGATTACGTATTAGTTATCGTCCAGAATCACTGACTACACATTGATTAGATTCTTAATTATCCGGAACTTGTCTTTCGCTAAACTATACATCTATCCACGTCGAAATAAAACGTTTTTTAGGCTCATTAAATGTAGAATTTCTTGTAACCAGCCATCTGTCTATCCCATTGTGTTAGTTGTAATGCGTATTTAATCAATATCTTGTAACCAACCATTATTTTCCTTGGTTGCGTAATTAAGTTGGTGAATTACTCTCTCATACAAATAAAACTTGGTTTTCTAGACTGACTAAGCTGATATTAGAACTAGGTACACCCTTAAACATTTTTATCTCATTTATCCTGACAGATCACCTCCTTTTTTATCCAAAATTTGTATCCCACGCAATTTCAAACCTAGACTCTTAAGTTTTGTTGAGAAGATATCATATTACATATCCGATGTTTTAAATGTTTCTTATTTGTTGAATTGTATTAAAATTGATGATAAAACATGTTTTATTTTAAAAAGAAAAATAAAAATTTAATAACTTTTAATCTATATGCACAAGGTTAAAACAGAGGAAGTATTTAGGGTGACTAGTATAGATAATTTAAATTATAAAAATACTCGACGGTCCACAGAAGATTAAGTATTAGTTGTCGTCCAATCACTACTTACACATTGCTTATTAATTATCCGGAACTTGTCTTTCGCTAAACTATACATCTATCCACGTCGGAATTAAACGTTTTTGGGCTCATTAAATGTAGAATCTCTTGTAACCAGCCATCTGTCTATCCCATTGTGTTGGTTGTAATGCGTATTTAATCAATATCTTGTACATTTCAGAGTGTCATTGAAATTTTTTTGGATCCCATTATTTTCTTTGGTTGCATAATTAAGTCGGTGAATTACTCTCCTATAAATAAAAAATGGTTTTAGCTAATATCAGAACTAGGTACACTCTAAACATTTTATCTCATTAATCCTGACAGTTCACCTCCTTTTTTATCCAAAATTTGTATCTCACGCAGTTTCAAACCTAGACTCTTAGGTTTTGTTAAGAAGATATCGTATTACATATCCGATGTTTTAAATGTCTTATTTGTCGAAATGACATCTTCTTTTTTCTCTGTTAAAAATGATATCATACTGTATTTGATGAATGTACGTAGCAGCGTGGACGACGGTCTCGAGACTAGATATCAACTATCCACCAACTAAAAACTAATTAAGAAAATGGTTTTTTAACGCACGTGGATTTTAGATAAGCATGCATCTATACATGATAAAATATGACAATGAGTAACAAAATTGAAATTAGTTCTACTAACTATCTATAACATTGTAATATCCAGTGATTTGAGACATACTGATATGTTTTTCATTTTTACTTTCATACAAACTAATGTTTTTCAATTTTGTTAAATGTTAAATGACTTTAATCATGGATAACAACTATATACGCCTTTAATGTCAAGAAAATATGACTTTCTCTCACATATTTCAAAGATAAGTTTGGATTTTGGCTCGACATTTTTCAGATTACCAAAAAAGTAGAAGTCCAGCTGAGAAAGATAAGAAAATAAGAATAGATTTGGCAATGATTGCTGGTTTGTATTTAATGAGATTTTGAAAAGTTGGTTGAGTCTTTGAGTAGATACATCTCATTCTCAATATAATGAGCTCTATGGAAAGATTTTGCCAAACCAATAATGTGAAAGAGATGGTGTGTGCACACAATACGAGATTTGGCTATCAGAGCATAACAATGATTCCTGGTTCATAACTATTGCTTAAATACAAGGATACAAATAACAATTTTATTTTTGGGTCAGTAATACAAATACCAAACAATTCAAATGATTTTTTTTCTGCACGGGGAATCAAAATATGAATGGTTTGTATAGATTGATATGTGATAATACAAAAATGTAGAGATTTTGAAAAAAGTTTACAGCAAACAATAATAGTATATATATATATATATAAATTAATATTCAAGAATAATGGAAATTTATAAAAATGAATTTGAGTATATTAACAGTTTATATATATATATATATATATATACTGATAGACAATATAGATGATGATGATGATGATCAACGATTATTAAAGCAGCGGTAGAAATAGACAATATAGATGATGATCAACGATTTAACAACCTAAGGTCGCATTTATTAACAATTACAACTGGCAAGATCATGCCAAACTCTATTCAACCATGTTTTATTTTCTTTGGCAATATTCCAAAATTACATCTATAATTTATTTACTTATTATAAAGTTAAACCAGTCATTTCCGGATTATGTATAAAACTAGATATCACATTTTCATTTAGTGAAACTATATAACTATTCAATATGCACTTCGTTAGCCGAGAAACAAATATATTTAATAGTTATATAATTTTACTAAATGAAAATGTGATATCTAGTTTTATATGAGACTAGATTAGGTCCCGCGTATACGCGGTTTATTTTAATATAATTGAAATAAATCATAGGAAAATACTAAACAAAAATCTGGTCACTTTTAAAAGTAAGTAGAATAATATTCAAAAGATTATTTTGACTATTATAATTATAATATTTAATTATAATTGATTATTCTATTTAAAAGATTTCGATTGATGAAATCTTTTTCATAATATTGTTTTACCTACCAAAAAATAGAAAATTAATCTATTTAGAATTAGAATATCGGTCAATTAGATATATTTTTAATGTTATAATTATTTTGTTAAATTTTCTATTTATCATATTTTTTGTTCAATTTTGTTTTGCCTCGGACCATTATAAATTTTCTTATTCATAATTAGTTAGTTGTTTTAAAATTATTTTGTTAGTTTTTTTATTTATCTTATTACATTTTTCTATTTTTCTTTTGTTAACACATGTTATCACATGACATATATATTTTCAATTTCTACCCAACTTATCTAAAGTTAAATATTTTCATTGATATCTTGAACTTTAAAGTACATGATTTTTATTTTGTAATAAAAGAGAAAGTTTAAACAAAAGATAGAATCACAGATATAAATCATGAAAGCTATAACTTATTATATATTGTTTTTTGTTTCCTTTTCTTAATGGGAATATGTTTTTTCTCCTTTTCTTAACGGATGTAACATTTTTTCTTTTATTATTTGTTTCATGTTTTTCTGAATATCGATTATTTTTCCTTTTCGTATTGGGAGTATGTTTTTTTCCTTTTCTTGATGGATATAACATTTTTTAAAAAAATTGCTATTTGTTTCCTATTTTTCTTGAATTGTGTTTTCCTGTTTCAAAAAAATGTAAAAATTTAATGTTAATCTATTTATAATTATATATATATATTTAATGTTATATGTTAAAATTTCTTTTTTCTTAATTTTCGTTTTTCTAATATTTAAATAAAATAAATAAAAATTCTTTTTTTCAAAACACGTGTCACGATCTTAACGGTTTTAACATTAAAAGTGACACATGTCGCGATCATATAATTTATAAAAATCCTATGTTCGCAACCACGTCGCGCGCATCCAACTTTATATAATAAGATTTTATATAATTAAATGAAAGAAAATCGCTTGTTGAAAAAAATAAATGGAGAAGAAAGAAACAAAAGCCAACAACGACTTACTTTTTCCTCTATAAATACCCAACCGACGGAAATCGCCACACCATAAAACAGATTTCTTCTCCGCTTCAATTGAAAAAAAAAAAAAAAAAAAAAAAAAACTCAGTGAGAATCTCAAAACTTCCGAAGATGTTTGACGATTTGAAGGATCTGTTTACCGGCGGCGGAAATGCGAAGGTGAAAGGGACGGTGGTTCTGATGAAGAACAACGTCCTCGATTTCAACGATTTCAACGCTTCGTTTCTCGATCGCCTCCATGAATTTCTCGGAAACAAAGTCACTCTTCAACTTATCAGCTCCGATGTTACTGATTCAGGTAAATCGCAGCTCTAATTTTCATTTTCCAATTTGAAAATTTGAATCCATAATTATTAATTGATTTGTCTTCTTCGTTTTGCTTTTGAATTTTGATTGTTGTTGATATTATTATTTTCTTTCGCTTTCTCAAGTTTTCTCTGATTTTTTATTTACTCGAAAGACTCATTTAAAAATAGTCTCCCCTATAGTCTATAGTAATTACATGATATATTTTTTATTTAAATTCTCAATTACCGATATATTTGTTATTTTCTACAGACCTATTTTCTTCTTGTCCTTTGACCCTAGTGCTATTTTTTCTTCTTTTTTTAATTGAAGAAAGTATGAGATTAATTAAAAATATAGAACTGTGAGATCAATAGTTGAAGAGATCATTAATTAAAAATATGTAAACTTGTTTGTTTGTTATATTGAAAACTTCTTCAGCAAGAAAGCTTAGAATAATTTCGGCTTTTTTTTTTCCCTCTGAAAAGGCCAAAAACATTATTCGCTCTGAAAAAGACGATATAATCAGATACCCTTTTTGTCTTGTTATTCTTTAAAAAAAAATTTCCGCCCATTTTTTGTATTTTCTGTAAATATTTGATATTTCGATGGATAATGTATTTTTTTTTAATATGTACATACGCATTAACATATCAGTTTTCAGTTTGGATCTGGATTAAATTTTCAATCTATTTAATTAAACAAAATGAAAATGTAATTTAGTAAATACTCTGTTCTCCCAATTTCCACAATAGGAAGCAGAGTGTGGTTACGTGTCCCAATAAAGAGAATTATTTTTTCTATTTTTACTTTTTATAGAATATGTACTTTTTTTTTATAAATGAATATCACTGTTAATATCGACTTTTTATTTTTGATAAATAAAGTAGACTTTGCTAATCTAATTATATTCCATTTGAAATCATTTTCAAAATTTTAGTTTGGTATTCGTTTAGGTCTTCGTAATTGTTCCAACAAATTAATCGATCTAATAATAAACACCAAACATTAAGGATGTATGTGTTTCCTTTATTCAATAATTTAATTAAAATGTTTAATTTGACACAGTTCTTAAGAAAAGTAGATATGTATATGCATTTTTGTTTTTGTCTCTTAAAAAACATTTGCTTCGTTCTTTAGTTGTAGACTTGTAGTGTATTCACGTGTGCCCAAATATTCCTTCTTATCCTACGTTAACACGAATTGAGTTATATTAATCGGATATAACCGGAGTCCGGTTTAATTTACCTTGGTTTAGAAAGCTGTAAATAAACAATGCACAATTACATTCAACCGGACTTAACCGAGACATGCTCAATCTCTCAAGTACATGTTACTAGAGAGAGTCACTACAACTTCCTGTCATTTAGCTTTTTGGTGTAATTTTGTTCTGCAGAAAACGGTTCTAAAGGTAAACTAGGGAAGCCTGCTTACTTAGAGGATTGGATCACAACGATCACGTCCTTAACCGTTGGAGAATCAGCCTTCAAGGTCTCGTTCGATTACGACAAAGACTTTGGTTACCCTGGAGCGTTCTTGATCAGAAACAGCCATTTCAGCCAGTTTTATCTCAAAAGCCTCACGCTTGAAGACGTTCCAGGCCATGGAAGAGTCCATTACGTCTGCAACTCTTGGGTTTACCCTGCCAAAAACTACACTAAAGACCGAGTTTTCTTCTCCAACAAGGTAACTAAAGCTAAAGCCCTATCTGTTTTCTTTTCTTGATGCCTTGTGAGAGACTCAATGATTGATTACTTCTGTTTTCAGACTTATCTTCCGCATGAAACACCAGCGCCACTTCTCAAGTACAGAGAAGAAGAGCTAGTGAGCTTAAGAGGAACCGGAGAAGGAGAGCTTAAAGAATGGGACAGAGTCTACGACTACGCTTACTACAACGACTTAGGCGTCCCACCGAAGAATCCAAGACCTGTTCTTGGAGGTACACAAGAGTATCCTTACCCGAGAAGAGGAAGAACCGGTCGTAAACCGACCGAAGAAGATCCTCAAACCGAGAGCAGGTTACCGATAACTTCGAGCCTCGACATATACGTTCCGAGAGACGAGAGGTTCGGACACTTGAAGATGTCTGACTTCCTTGCTTACGCTCTCAAAGCCATCGCTCAGATCATCCAGCCTGCGCTTGAAGCTGTGTTCGACGAGACTCCTAAAGAGTTTGATTCTTTTGAAGATGTTCTCAAGATTTACGAAGAAGGAATCGATCTGCCGAACCTTTCTTTGATTGATGGTATCTTCAAGAACATACCACTTGAGTTGTTGAAAGAGATTTTCAGAACAGATGGCCAGAAGTTTCTCAAGTATCCTGTCCCTCAAGTCATCAAAGGTATACACTTTTTTACTCTCTATCCATTTCTTGTTTGTTCTTGATTTAGTTTTAGTAACTTTCCTTTTTAGAGGACAAGACTGCTTGGAGAACTGATGAAGAGTTCGCTAGAGAAATGCTTGCTGGACTAAACCCTGTTGTGATTCAACTTCTTCAGGTGAGTTTTCATGAAATCTCTAGCTAGCAAAAAGTGATATCTCTGCTTTCTTACATGTTTGTGGAATGTTAACTTGCAGGAGTTTCCTCCAAAGAGCAAGCTTGACACCGAATCATACGGTAACCAGAACAGTACAATCACCAAAAGCCACATAGAGCAGAGCTTAGATGGTCTCACTGTTGAAGAGGTAAACAAACCTTACTTACTATCACATAAACCCTAACCTAACCCTAACCTGATACTGAATCCATTTGTAAAAACTTGTCTTTTTGCTATTTACAGGCTCTAGAGAAGGAAAGGTTGTTCATACTAGACCACCATGACACACTGATGCCATACTTGGGACGTATAAACACAACCGGGACCAAGACTTATGCAACAAGAACACTTCTGTTCTTGAAAGATGATGGGACCTTAAAGCCATTAGTGATAGAGCTGAGCTTGCCTCATCCTGATGGAGACAGATTTGGAGCAGTGAGTGAAGTCTATACACCTGGTGAAGGAGTCTACGACTCGCTGTGGCAGTTGGCAAAGGCTTATGTCGGCGTAAACGACTCTGGAAACCATCAGCTCATCAGCCACTGGTAAATGGATTCATAAAAACTGATCTTATGATTCTAATTCTATCTTTACAAGATCTTGAAAGTTCTAAAGATTTGGTGTTCTTTTGTTTTGTTTTTTTGCAGGTTGCAAACACACGCATCGATTGAACCATTTGTGATTGCTACGAACAGACAGCTGAGTGTTCTTCACCCTGTTTTCAAGCTCCTCCAGCCTCATTACCGCGACACGATGAACATCAATGCGCTTGCTAGGACGATCTTGATCAACGGTGGTGGTATCTTTGAGATCACTGTCTTCCCTTCCAAATACGCCATGGAAATGTCTTCTTCCATCTACAAGAACCACTGGACTTTCCCTGACCAAGCTTTACCAGCAGAACTTAAAAAGAGGTAACTCAAAAAAATCTTTCAATACTCAGAAGAGAACACAAAGCCTTAAGCTTTGAAAGAGAATCAAGATTTGATTTCTTGTTTCTTGTTTGCAGAGGAATGGCTGTTGAGGATAAAGAAGCACCACATGGACTACGTCTGAGGATAAAAGACTATCCTTATGCAGTGGATGGGCTTGAGGTGTGGTACGCTATTGAAACATGGGTGCAAGACTACATCTCCGTGTATTACAAGACAGACGAGGATGTTCAGGTCGATACAGAGCTCCAAGCGTGGTGGAAGGAGGTGCGTGAGGAAGGCCACGGAGACAAAAAGTCGGAAACTTGGTGGCCTAAAATGCAAACACGCCAAGAGCTGGTCGAGTCTTGCACTATCATCATTTGGCTTGCTTCTGCTCTTCACGCAGCGGTTAACTTCGGACAGTATCCGATCGCTGGTTACTTGCCGAACAGGCCAACGATAAGCAGACAGTTCATGCCTAAAGAGAACACTCCGGAGTTTGAAGAGCTTGAGAAGAATCCGGATAAAGTGTTCTTGAAGACGATCACTGCTCAGCTTCAGACACTTCTTGGGATCTCTCTGATTGAGATCCTGTCTACTCATTCGAGCGATGAGGTTTATTTGGGACAGAGAGACTCTAAGGAATGGGCAGCTGAGAAAGAGGCGTTGGATGCGTTTGAGAAGTTTGGTGAGAAAGTGAAAGAGATTGAGAAGAAGATTGATGAGAGGAACGGAGACGAGAGCTTGAAGAACAGGGTTGGTCCGGTTATGATGCCGTACACTCTATTGTTTCCGACCAGTGTTGGTGGAGTCACCGGTAGGGGAATTCCAAACAGTGTCTCTATCTGAAAACAGAGTCTCTCACAGATCTTCTGTTTGTTTGCTTTCTTCTTCTTATTGTCTGTCTGTTTGTGTTCTCTTATAGTTTACTACTTGCTTCCACATTGATTCTGGTGGCCGGTTATAGGATCGGTTATTTATCGGTTTGGCCTATAAACATCATAATAAAAGTAATAAAACAGTCTCTACTATATAACATTCTGTGTTTTATAAAAAACATTTCATCAACTTCCACAAACTGTATAAGCATGGATCCATTTCTTTCCAAAAATTGTTTTGCTCCATTTTAAATTGTAAGACCGAAATTAAACCGGAGAACGTAGAGTGAACCGGTCGGTTATTGAAATTGTTAATGAAAAGATGAAATCTTGACCTTCAAACACCAAAATGATCCAACGGAGGTAAAATCCACCTTCTTCAACCTGATTACAAAATGTTTTCAATTCTAATTGTCCAAAACCTAACCAAAAATTCCATAAACTAAACAAAAAACCGGAAAAACCAATCCAAAATGAGCGCGAGACCAATTTGCCACAAATCAGGAAAACTTAATCTGGTGTGCTACAACATGATCTAATGCCATTTTTCTTTTTAATTTAAATTAAAATCTATGTGAAATTCCAATTCACTCCTTAATGAAATCTGATTAAAAAAATAATTTAATAAAATAAAAGAAATCAGTTTAATAAAATAAAAGAAAACCAAATCATTTTAATTAAAATAAAAAATTCGGATAAATAATTAAAAAAAAAAAAAAAAAAAAAACTGGATTCACTTTCTTCTCCCGTCGACATTTGTTTCCGGTGAAGCTCATCGCCGGCGGCCCGACATAGATCTGCCATTACCTGATCACCTCCATCTCTTACCTTGTTCTCTTCCTTCTGCAATTGATTTTTTCTCTCTTTCACCATTGTTGAAAGCTTCAAGAGGTAAGCTTTTTTCTTCCTTAATCTATAAATTTATTTGGGATTCACAATTTAGAGTTAAGATATTAAAATTGGTTGTTTAAGAAGGTTGATAACCATATTTTCTAGATATATTAAGGTTTTGATGCAATAATTTGTCGATTTTAGTTGTTAAATCATAGTGATTCTAGGTAGATTGAACCAGAAATTGCCATAGCTGCATGTACAACTGGTACAAATGGGTACAACTGACAAATAATGTACAACTGGTACAAATGGGTACAACTAATAAATAATGTACAACTAGACGACAAATAATAGACAACTAATGCAAATGGTATAATTGTGTAATATGAATTAATTGTTAACTGAATATTTTTATTCTATTTTTCAGGAGGTAATGAACAACAACCATTCCACAAACATATATTTTGGTTATGGAGGATACTAATCAAAAACTATATGAGTATCAATGGATTGAAGAGAATATCACATTTACCAAACATAAACTATGGAAAAGATAACTTACTTGATGCTATTGGCGAATTACTCTCAAAAAAAAAATACATTTTAATTTATTTGTTGTAAGTGATGTAAATTTAGTATTCATAACACATTTATGTTATTTGTCGTGATACAAGAATTTATGATTCTTGTCATGTATATGTATTTTTTGGATTTGCATTTACTGATTTTTCACTACTAGCTTAAATTTGGTTTAACTATGAATAATTATGGATTTGTATTTGTTGGTTTTGTACTACTAGGTTAAATTAAATATAACTAAGAATTATTGTCAGTTTGTATTTATCATATTTCTATTTGTATTTTTACTTTTGTTATGTATTGAATATAATTAGGTTGTTTCAAATTATGTTTGACTTTTAGAGATTGGTTCTGTTCAAGTACAAACACAAACGTTCAGGTTCTACGAGGTTCAAGTACGTACAAATGTTGAAGGTCATGTGTTTGTGTTTCCAGATATATATTTCATGTATGAACGTGGACATCTGAATGTGGACGTATTTTGGTTTCTCATTCACTTTGTACAACTGGTTCACATTGGTTCGACTACTCGGAACTAAATATTTATAACCAATAAATACTAAATAAATATCTTTATGATATGCAATTTAGACAATTAAGTAAAATAAACACATGTTCATGTCTTAGTAATTAATAAAAAGATCAATAAATTGGAATTATAAAATTATGGTAGCAGATAATGGTTTAGTCATAAGTACCCTTTACAATATATGGAACATATAGGTAATATATCTATAATATGAAGCAAATTAACAACAATATTAGATTCCTTTTAAATGATGATATAAACATGTTTAGAATGATAAAAGAATATCAAATATCACTTGTTCAACTGTATCATTATAAGCTAAGATATGGTTCAACTACAAATACACAAAAATCGCAGATGTTCAACTATTACCAATTTTGGTTCTACCGTTGGCAAGGGTACAACTATGTGGTTTTTGGCGGGGCCACGTTTTTTTTGGCGGCGCCACGTCAAATAATTTTTTTTTGGTGGCGGCGCCATCCTTTTTTATAACACGTGTATTTTCTTTCTTTTTTTTTTGCATTCAATTTAATTTATTTTAAAGCAAAATTGTATGAAATGTCTTAGTTGTACGTAAACAAACTCAGTTGTACCATATCATATCATTACAATCAATTACTCCTACTTCTATATGTGATGACAAACAATTCTTTCTTTTGCTTTGACCTACACATAACCATTATTAGAATTATATGTTCTGTTTAAATAACTGAAAAAGAAGAGCAAAAAACAATTTCTCTTGTTGTATTGGTTGGGTATCAACATCTTTACACTGCAAATTCAAACAATTTTAGTTATAGTTGAACCTAGTAATACGTAGTTGAACCTAGTTATGAACCTAGTAATACGTAGTTGAACCTAGTAATACATAGTTGAACCTAAAGTGAAACTGAAAAGAATATGCAGACAGAACACGTAAAAAAGCAAAAGTGATCCATAAGTTCTCCTTATGTTCTCCACATGGGATTTATGATGCTAAAATCGACAATCCTTTATACATTCTCCAATTGTTCAATGATCCAAAAGCACTCAAGAGGAATCAAAAACAAATGAAAAGGGAGAAAAAGATTTGAGACAACTACTGATGAACGAGGAAGAAGAAAGAGTGGACTTGTTTGAGTTTGAGAGATGAGTGGTGAAGAAGAAGCGGTGGAAAAAGACAGTGACATATTCTGCTACTAAACCTCTTTGGCAAAGAAATTGAATTTCATAAACCAAAGATTGAGCAAGTTCTCATAGCTGAAAGAATCATGGTGTTCGGATTCAATACCCTACGGATACCAAAGCCACATTTCAATGAGTGAATCTCTGACATTCGGAGCCGAGGAGGCGAGGAAGCGGAATAGAGAAGAAATGGATTTAGTAGACGATGCTTGAAGTATCTTCAACACCAACATATCAGTTTGTACAAGAGGAGAACAAATACAATAAACCGTCTATAGGGCACGCGAACGGCGGAGGTTCCTTTAATGGTGAGAGCAGTCGCGATTGGCGGCCTGGCGTAAGTGCTTAGCCAGATTTTGGAGACCAATTTGCCAAATCCTTCGATGTTACGTGTATATCTGAGCCCCCCAATGACAAAGCAATGAAGTAATGGAAGAATGAACATCAAAATTCTCACATTGGGAACTATTGACTCAGATCCGAAAATAGAGTAATGGAAGCGATGGAGAAAATAGAGTAATGGAAGCGATGGGCTTTGAGCTGAGAAAGAACACAATTTCTCAATGGAGAAAAACGATTCTTCTTTTACTAATTCCCTTGAACACATGGATTTCTGGTTTGTTAGACAAATCTGGAAGAAGAAGAACATTCTTCGTCGAGAAGAAGAAGAAAGAAGAAAAATAATGATTTTTTTTTTAATTGTAATTTTGTTTTTAAAATTAATTTTGACCCAAATTCAATGGATAGATAACTCGGGTGGATGGGTCTGTAAATAGTTTAAGTTGTTAAGGACTTTGTTGTATTTGCTGAGCTTTTCAATTTAAAATAAAATGAAAAAGAAATTAATATTAGGAATGTGGCAAAATGGCCTCCGGTTCGACAATTTGTGGCAAATTAGCATTTCTTTCATCCAAAATGTGTTTAAACCGATTCAAACCGAAATCGAAATCCGAGATTCTTTCCTGAGACTGCGAGTCTTGAAGCTGCGGATGGGTTTAACAAAGACAGAGAGAGAGAGAGAGAGAGGCATAAACCCTTTTCCTCTCAAGTTACCATTTCCATGGCTGATTCTGCAACTCTCATCATCACTCTTTAAAATTCCCTTTTCTCTATGTTCCCCATTTCTCTATAATGGCTTCTTCAATCTCCCTCCTTCTCATCAAACGCATCTCTCTCCTCCACGTAAAACCTAAAAGCCGCCGACTTTTCCAACAATTCATCGGAAAATCACTCTCTACTTCAGCACAGAGCAACCCTAACACAACCCCTGAGCAAAACCACAAACCTTCCTCTCTCTCTTCTCGTCTCAGCTTCGTGTTCGATCAAATCGATGCGATTGAGAAACGTCACTCTGAGCAAGACGAAACCCTCGAGCGTATCCGTGCTTGGCGTCAATCAAAACAAACACCTTCTTCTCCTGCTGCTCGACAAGATCCGGATCCTGTAGAACTTAGATCCGAATCGGCCGGGTCCAATGAGAAACCGGACTCTGCTGAGTTGACTCAATCGAGTTCGGGCGAGCTGAGTAAGGAGAAGAAAGGTGTGGTTGAGCTTGTGCATCCATGGCCTGAGTGGATGGAGCTAATGGAGAGGTTGGTGAAGCAGAATTACTTTGATCATAGGAGACAAAGAGACGAAGAAGACGAGATGGTTCAAAGTTTGGGGATTGATGTGTCATCATCATCATCAAATGTTGGATTGAGTGAAGAAGAAAATGTTGGAGTTGCTCTGTTTCAGGATTTCAGAGCTGTTCAAAACGCTTGTGTCAATTTCGGAAAGGACCGTTTTGATATCCTAAGGTTTGTGTTCTGCTTCTGAATTGAATAAAGTTTCAACATTTGAAGAGAAACTTATAGGTTTTTTGCAACTGTTTTTGCTTGTCATTTTGCCCATTTGCTTGTGTTTAGATACTCTTAAAGGTTGTGTTGAGCTTCTGACTCGAAAAAGTTCCAACATTTCGAGTAAAAGTTATAATTTTTGCAACTGTTCTTGTTTGTCATTTTGCCCATTTACTTATGTTAAGATACTCTTAAGGTTTGTGTTCAGCTTCTGATTCGAAAAAGTGGCAACATTTCAAGTGAAAGTTATAATTTTTGCAACTGATTCGTGTACGTTATTTTGCCTATTTGCTTATGTTTAGATACTCTTAAGGTTTGTGTTCAGCTACTGAATCGAATAAAGTTGAAACATTTCATGTAAAAGATAGAATTTTAGCAACTGTTCTTGTTTGTCATTTTGCCATTTTGCTTATGTTTTAGATACTCAAGGTTTGTGTTCAGCTTCTGAATCCAAAAAGTTTCAACATTTCAAGAAAAAAGTTATAATTTTGGCAACTGTTTTTTTAAGTCAGTTTACCCATTTGCATTTGCGTTTGAGCAACTTTTAGTTGTTAGGATTAAAGATACTGAGGAGTGTAAGCTGAAATCTCTTTTTATTTCATTGGCTTTGAGATGTGCTTATATGAGTATTTTCTTCTTATAGGTCATTGTCGAGAAATGACATTCAAATCCTTGTCGGACATGGATGCCCAGCGACTGATAGAAAAGTGGTTTTCTCAGGGAAACTACTGAGGAAGCGTGTTCATCTCGATGAAGGAGATGTAAGCATTTTATGCATACAAGACTTTGCTTTTATATAAACTTGTGTGGTTCAGTAACTCTACAATTGATAGGCACTAGAATGTTAGATGTTTGAAACATATTGATGAACAAAGATGAATAGTACAAATAAGTGGAATGATGAACAGACTAGGAGTAATGGTTTGTGGCTATTTGCATTTAGGTTTCATGAAGTCTCCTTTGTTCACTTTCCTAAATTTGTTTTTACTATCAATAGGTTCTTCAGATGATAACATCCATTCATACATTACATATATCAGGTCTGCAGTTCCTGCAGCTTAAGGAACTCATGCGAGAAGGCGTTTTTGGTGACAAACAAAGAGGACGAGGCTCGAACACTTGACCTCATGCGCATTTTGTTCACCTATGGTTTCGACCCGTTGAGTGATACAGTGACCAACAAAAGTCTCCTCAAGAAGAAGTCTGTTAAGACTGTGGTGCGTAAACTGTTGCATGAGATTGTCAAGTTAAGCGCTGTGCCAATAGATCCTAATCTTACTCCACCAGTTCTCAAGAAAGCTCCTCCTAAAGTCAAGCAGCCACCACCACCTCCTAAAAGACGCGTTGGCCGTGATGATATTGAGATGAAGAAAGGAGACTGGCTTTGCCCAAAGTAAGTTCACACCGAAGAACATATTTTTTCTTGAAATTTTGGAACTTTGCGCATCTTTTAAGATGTTAATGCCTCTTAACTTTTGTTCTTAGGTGTGATTTCATGAACTTTGCAAAGAACACCATTTGCTTACAGTGTGATGCAAAGAGGCCAAAGAGACAGCTCCTTCCTGGAGAATGGGAATGCCCTGAGTAAGTTGCTATCTTTGTAACATTTTGGTTACTATTTGTATGTCATCTTGGGATTGATGATATTGTTTGTTTGGTATTGGCAGATGCAACTTCTTGAACTACAGGAGAAACATGGCATGTTTTCATTGTGATTGCAAGCGTCCACAGGATGCTTTCTTAGAGAACAAAGAACAAGAAACGCATCACCGCTTCACTGAATCACAAACAGATAGGGCTGTGAAGCGGGATGATGTTTCCAATGCCTGGAACTTCGATTTTGATGACGATGAATCAGACGGTGCAGAAGTTGCTGCGTTTGAATACGCAGATTCGACGAGAAAGAACGAAAACTTCACCCGGGAAGGTTTGAGAGATCCTGAAGATGAAGAGTTTGGTAATCTTCCTCCAGGAGCAAGAGAAAGCTCTGATCTTGGCAGCAGTAGGAGCAGGAAACCTGGTGCTGGGTTTGATGATTTTGACGATGAAGATGACGTTGATAGCTATGAGATAGACGAAACTGGAGATAGAGAAGGTCCAGTAGCAAGAACTCGATCTTTTGTTGCTTCTGAAGAAGTCTCAGAGGATGATGAAATGTTTCCTGAACACAGAGGAGGAAGTTCAAAGCTTCACAACAGTAGAAACAACAAGCATGGAAATGGTAAAGGAGGTTTCTCTAGGGATGGTGATGATGATGAGCTCGGTTTCAGCTCAGATGATGAAAACTCTGTCACTCCAAGGTGGAAATCAAGCCATGTTGCTTCCACACAGAGAGGTCCTTCTTTCAAGAAGATGAGTTTTGGTTCGGACGATGATTCTGATGTGGAGGACGATGGTCCAAGGTCGGGTTTAAGGCGTGGGGGCCAACGAAACAACGATGCAAGAAGAGGGTTTAAGGGTAAAAGAAGCTCATACTCAGCTTCAGAGTCTGATGATGATGACATGGATGATCAAGCTTCCAGAGGGTCAAGTTTCTCAAGAGGGAGCAGAGGAGGAAGAACGAGAGGCGGACGTGGTGGTTTCAACGATAGTTTTGCCTCTGATAGCTACAGGGGATCAAGTGGCTTCTCGGGTAATAGGTCAAGAGGGAGAGGAGGAAGAACAGGAGGCAGTAGAAGGAGTGGTTTTGATAGTGACGGCGAAGATTACAGAGGGTCAAGTTCCTCAAGAGGGAACAGAGAAGATAGTGGCGGGTTTGGGGGAAGAATGGGAAGCAGAAGAGGCGGTTTTGATGATGAGTTTGGTAGAAAGAGCAGTAGCCGAGGAGGACGAGGTTCAGGGAGTTTCAGGGGATCAGACAGAGGAGGAAGAGGAAGAGGAGGAGGAGGAAGAGGAGGTGGAGGAGGAAACCGGCGTGAGCAGAGTGATGGTAGAGATACAGACGTTGGAGATTTCAGAAACAGTAGAAGAGTTATTGAGAGATAGAGAGATGTAGTAAACTTGATTTTCCATTTGTTGAACAGAAGTTTTGTAGAAGTGAGTGCACCAGTTATAAGTGTAACACATTGACAGTGACACTGAAGCATTTCCATCAAGAACCGAACGATTTACTTTATTTAGAGAGAATTCAAGATTTGTACGTACAGAATGTCATCAAAGTATTACCATTACTCTATGACTGGATTTTTCTTAGAACTCAAGCAAAAGAACCAAATGTTTCAAGACTTAGAAGACAAAGAGTTTGATCCTTGACTTGGACTATGTTAGAAATTCAACCGTCTCAAATTGTTCTATTTTCTCCTAGAAGATCAATCATGTGTCAAGTTGTTAGTGTCTCAACTATGAGTTCATTTCACCGTAAAGAGTGTCGTAAACATCAATGTAGAGGATAACATCATCCAATTCTTTATCTAAAGAGTCCAATGCAGGAGAAAGTCTTGCGTTGAATTGCTTTGCCATATTTTGTTTTTAATGAATGTTTGTTACATCTAAGTGTTTCACTATTTTGAGATTAAGAAGGGAAAATCTACTCTATTTTTTAAACTCTTGTAGAAAACCAAAGCATGAGGCTGTCTTTGTAACGATGATCTCCGAGAAGCCTAATTGAGGTTAAGCGATTCCTAACATTCTTACCAACTGCAATAGGAGCTCTTTTTCCCCATGTTTTATTTTGTTTTGTTCCCTTCATAGTCATAGAGTGTGTAATTTTGTTATTGTTTGATTACTTATATCTAACATAAATATTTTTGAATGTCAATTTTCAAAACTACATTTGTACTGTGTATTTTCAAAATTACAATTTTTTGAATTTTCATATATAAGTTTGGGTTCAGTAATCCTTGACTAAGATTTAGATTTTGGAATTTATAACTTAGATTTTAGAGTTTAATATTATTTTTTGGGTTTAAGATTTATAATTTAGGGTTATAGTTTTTGCTCAATTAGAAAAAAATGTAATTTTTAAAATTTACACCTAAAAATATAGTTTTAAAAATTGACACCAAAAATGTAATTTTGAAATTTACCAATACAAAATTGGAGAAGACAAATGTGATTCGATGGCTTTGCCCCAAATCGATCGGCGGACCGGATTGCTCCGTTCCGCATCCGACTAGGACACAACGCCGGCCCCATATGCTTCCTTCCTGACAATTTCATACCGTAGAAGCTGTAGGCGCCATGTGAAGTTTTGAAGATTGGCAGGACTCGAGTTTTTAGGAATTGTAAAAGCAAGTTTCTGAGTGTTGGTTTTCGGTGTTTCGTCTTCGGTAAATTGTGTTTCGTCTTCGGTAAAATTATTGATCGGGTTTTGTTTGTGAGTCTAGCTTATCGTTTTTGTTCTTTGGATTGGTGATGTACATAGTTGTTTTAGTTTTTGGTCTTTCTGGTTTTTTCGTGTAACTTCGGTCACAATTCGAAAATGGTATAAATCTTTAATATTTTTACCAAAAATAAAATTGTTAAGAGTTTTTTTTTATTTTCCTTAATATTTTCTCCAAGTGAAAACTTTTCGTCCTTATTGTGTTCCTCACTTTGTATCTCTCTCGAGTCTCGAAGACTTAGTGTTGAAAGAAGCGGCCAGTGATCTCTCTCTCTCTCTTTCTCTCCCCACACAAATTAAAAAGAAAAGACGAAACTTCTTCTTCGGTCGTTGCCTAAACTCTGAGAAATCTCACTGCAATGCAAAGCTGAAACATCTCTTCGTTTCCAAAGGTTAACCAAATCTCTCTCTCTCTCTGCTCTCTTCCCTTCTTCTTAACGCCGTTTTAGGTAATTCACGTTCGTGTTCGTGTGCGATGTTTTGCGAAAACGTTACTGTTAAATGCATAGAAGAATTGGAGTCATAACAATCGGATTGTCGATTCGAAAAATCACTCCTTTTTGCTACATGAAAGTACCAATCTTTCTCACGTTTTCCTCTGTGTGTGTTGATAAAGATTGAAACTTTCTGCTTGGTTTCTCTTCCAATGTTGATTACTGATTCACGACTCTTCTTGTTTCGGCTTATCCCTTAACGTGGGTCGTTGAGAAATTTCATGTTTTGATTCGATGCTCTCTGGATTGACGACCCCTTCTCGTCCCTGTTCTTGATTCTGGGTTTGCTCCATCTTCACGCTATTTGGCTATGTGGGTTTCTTGGATTTTGCGTTTGTTCTCGATCTGAAGTAGTTTTTGATGGTACCAAAACGTGTTCTTCTCAAAAGTGTCTTGCTTGCTTCTCTTTTGATTTGCTCAGAAATTGCAATTTCTCTGATCTTTGAATGTTCCTGACTTGGGTTTTGATTCTACTCTCCTCTCTTGTAATCGTCCGCTTTCAGTGGTGTTCATGCCTTTTGAGTGTTTGATTGTGTTGTGTGTTTCTGCTTCTGGTTAATTTGATGTTTTTACATTAGGCAGTGAGTGAATAAGCTTATCTCTGAGTAACAATGAATTGAGATCTCTGATTTTGTCAGTTTTGATAGCATTTTTGTTTGTTTCCGGTTTATGCAGACTGTTCTTGTGATATGGATGAAGAAAACAACCACATGGAAGAAGATTCTTGTGACATGGAAGAATCTGTATGTGGAGATCCAAAAGTTGATATTCGTGTTGGAGATGAATATCAAGCTGAGCTCCCTCCTTTAATGTCTGAATCCGAACGTGCAGCGTTTCTTGATGATTCTTCTTGTTCCTTTGTCATGGGACGACCTCTGGAAGTAATGTGGATAAACACCAAAGACCAAGAAAGGCTTGGAGGAGGAGATGATGATGTGGACATGAGCGAGTCTCTCAAGTCTCTGAAGACAAAGACAAGTCGTAATGGGAAAGGAATAGTGAGTCTTGAAGCTGTTCCTGAGAAGCAGTCAAGTTCTTGGGATGAGTTTGAAGTGGATGGGTTTGTTCTTGGGCTGTATACGTTTGGGAAAGACTTTGCTCAGATGAATAAGCTGTTGGATAGCAAAGAGACAAGAGATATACTTTCGTTTTACTACGGGAAGTTCTACAAATCAGCAAAGCACAAGATTTGGTCTAGCTTCCTCAAGAAGCGTAGCAGGAGATGTGTACAAGGCAAGAAGCTTTATTCAGGATGGAGGCTACAACAGTTGTTGACTCGTTTGATTCCAAGTGTTCCTAGTGAATCGGAGAAGAAGAAGCTTGTGGATGTGAGTCTCTCTTTTCACATTCTTCACTCTGAAAACGTCCTGAAAATGTGTTTTAAGATGTTTAGTCTTAACTTGTTTACAGGTCTCAAAGTCATTTGCTGAAGGGAATAGATCTTTGGAGGATTACATCACTGCAGTGAAGGAGCTGGTTGGTCTAAGGTCTCTTGTGGAGGCTGTAGCGATTGGTAAAGAGAAAGAAGACCTGACGGTGCTAACAACAGAGCCAGTGAATTCGAAGCAATGGTTCACTGTTTCTTCTGCGGTTCCTGCTGCTGGTTTAGGGGTCTACACTTCACTCACATGTCATGAGATCGTTGAGAAGCTGAGTGGTGGGTCTCGTCTAAGCAAAGCTCGTTGCAATGATATCTTCTGGGAGGCTGTGTGGCCTCGTTTGCTAGCTAGAGGGTGGCACTCTGAGCAGACGAAAGACAACAACAAGATCGTCTTCCTTGTCCCTGGGGTGAAGAAGTTCTCAAGAAGGAAACTTGTGAAGAAGAGTCACTACTTTGATTGTGTCAGTGACATTCTTGCAAAGGTTGTTGCTGATCCTGAGCTTCTTGAGTTTGAGACAGCTGAGAACAGACCTCCGGTGAATCAAGAGAAGCGGCGTTACCTTAAGTCTCCAGAGCCTTGTTCTACTCACATGAAGTTCACTGTTGTGGACCCTGCTGGTTTGGCTTGTGGTGGGAAGCTGTGTGAGCTTAGGGAGATGAAGTTTCCGAATCCGAATCAGGAAGCTTCTGTTGAAAGACTTGAGATGTCGCTGTTGGATGAAGAGAAGCATGCCAAGTTTGGTGATGAGTGTAAATGGAGAAAGAAGCGGATGATGAAACTTGTGGAAGATCCTGATGCTATGAGGTTTATGATTGTGGATGCAAGTTTGGAACATGGTGGGATAAAGAGAAGGAGACACTTGCCTGGTGATGAGAACCGTAGAGAAGCCATTGATGATGATGATGATGATTCACCACAGAAGAAGTATGATGAAACTGCAGAGTATACTAATGGGAATAGTTCTGGTGTAAAGGAGGAGACTTTGGAGTTTGTTCAACAAGGCCGGTCTAAGAAGCGGTCGGCTCGTAAACCGGAGTCTAGTAACCACCATCCGGTTACTTCTTCTTTCCCCTTGCCTAAACGCAGGCGGCTCAGTGTTTGTGTAAGGAAGGATATCAAACGTTCTGGGGAAAGCTCAGTGTTGAAACCACCTGCGTTGGAAGAAACTGGAAATGGGATTGAGGATGAGATTCAAGAACGGCAAGAAAGTGAACCAAATGGGTTATCTTCAAAGAAACAAGAAGTCAGTGCATCAGAAGAAGAAGAACAGCAAGGAAACGAATCAAACCGGTTGTGTTTGGACCAAAAACACTCTTCCAAGGATTTGGAAACTGCTCAACAACAAGAGGAACCGATTCAGGTTCCTGCAGTGTCAGGCTCGGAGAAGAATTCTCCTTCTCCTTCTACTACTGATCATGGAACGACTAATCAACAAGTTGCATCGTCAAAGCAAGAAGAAGAAGAAGAGCAAAACCAAGAGGCTAACAACACAGATCTTCTTCCAAGAAGACAAAGCACAAGAAAGAGGCCATTGACGACTCGTGCCCTAGAAGCTCTTGAGTCTGGTTTTCTCACAGCAAAGAGCACAAACACTACATCAAAACCAAGGAAACGAGAAAGATCTAAGAGGATCAAGCACAGAAACCGAGCTCAAGATGAGACAGAGAATGAAACCACAGCAAGTAAACCACTGGACCAGATAGAAGATTCAGAACCGAGGTTTCTTGCGAATGAAGGAACAGCGATGCAGAGTAAGGCTGTGGAGCAAACGGAGGATTCAAAGAAAGT